TCAAAGCTGCACCCATCCAAAGTTACATCAGATGGGTGCAACTTTGATGTAACTTTAGATGGGTGCAACTTTGATGTAACTTTGGATGGGTGCAGCTTTGATGTAACTTTGGATGGGTGCAACTTTGATGTAACTTTAGATGGGTGCAGCTTTGATGTAACTTTGGATGGGTGCAACTTTAATGTAACTTTGGATGGGTGCAGCTTTGATGTAACTTTGGATGGGTGCAACTTTGATGTAACTTTAGATGGGTGCAACTTTGATGTAACTTTGGATGGGTGCAACTTTGATGTAACTTTAGATGGGTGCAACTTTGATGTAACTTTAGATGGGTGCAGCTTTGATGTAACTTTGGATGGGTGCAACTTTGATGTAACTTTGGATGGGTGCAACTTTGATGTAACTTTAGATGGGTGCAACTTTGATGTAACTTTGGATGGGTGCAACTTTGACATGACTTTAGATGGGAGCGACTTTGATGCGATTTTGGATTGGAGCGACTTTGATGTGATTTTGGATGGGAATGACTTTGATGCGCCTTTTGTTTTGCTAATAGGAAAAGTATAACAGTTCTGTCCATGTGTTGCAACTTTGTGCTGCCCACTTGAGTGCCAGCCAGTGTAAAGTTGCATCAGTGGCTAAATGGTTAGCTCTTCTGCCTGGCAGTACTAGCGTCGTTGGTTCGAATCCCGACCACGGCACCACCTACCTGGAGTTTGCATGTTCTCCCTCTGCCTGCGTGGGTTTCTTCCAGATGCTCCAGTTTCCTCCTACATTCTAAAGACGTGCTGGCAGGTGCATTGGCTCTAGTATGTGTATCGGGGCAGACTGACAACTCATGGGGCCCCCAGGTAATAGGGGATCATGGGGCCCGTGTCCTTGCCTACACACAAAAAAGCCTATGAAAGGTACCAGGGGCATCTCATGGGGCCCCACACTGACCCCGGGCCCTCAGGCAGCACCCAAATGGTCAGTCCACCCCTGATGTGTATGTATGAATGTGAGTTAGGGACCTTAGATTGTACATCCCTTGAGGGTTAGGGACTGATGTGAATGTACAATATACAGTGGGGATCGAAAGTTTGGGCACCCCAGCTAAAAATGTGTATTAATGTGCATAAAGAAGCCAAGGAAAGATGGAAAAATCTCCAAAAGGCATCAAATTACAGATTAGACATTCTTATAATATGTCAACAAAAGTTAGATTTTATTTCCATCATTTACACTTTCAAAATAACAGAAAACAAAAAAATGGCGTCTGCAAAAGTTTGGGCACCCTGCAGAGTTAATATCTTGTACTGCCCCCTTTGGCAAGTATCACAGCTTGTAAACGCTTTTTGTAGCCAGCCAAGAGTCTTTCAATTCTTGTTTGAGGTATCTTTGCCCATTCTTCCTTACAAAAGTCTTCCAGTTCTTTGAGATTTCTGGGCTGTCTGTCATGCACTGCTCTTTTAAGGTCTATCCATAGATTTTCAATTATGTTGAGGTCAGGAGATTGTGAAGGCCATGGCAAAACCTTCAGTTTACGCCTCTTGATGTAATCCCCCGTGGATTTCGAGGTGTGTTTAGGATCATTATCCATTTGTAGAAGCCATCCTCTCTTTAACTTCAGCTTTTTCACAGATGGCATCAAGTTACCATTCAAAATTTGCTGAGATTTTATTGAATCCATTTTTCCTTCTACTCGTGAGATGTTCCCTGTGCCACTGGCTGCAACACAACCCCAAAGCATGATTGATCCAACCCCATGCTTAACAGTTGGACAGAGGTTCTTTTCATTAAATTCTGTGCCCCTTCTTCTCCAAACGTACCTTTGCTCATTCCAGCCAAAAAGTTCAATTTTAACCTCATCGGTCCACAGAACTTGTTTCCAAAATGCATCAGGCTTGTCTATATATTCATTTGCAAAGTTCAAACGATGATTTTTGTGGTGAGGACGTAGAAGAGGTTTTCTTCTGATGACTCTTCCATGAAGACCATATTTGTACAAGTATCTCTTTATAGTGGAATAGTGTACCACAACTCCAGTGTCTGCCAGATCTTTCTGGAGGGATCGTGCAGTCAAACGTGGGTTTTGAATTGTTTTTCTCACAATCCTGCGAGCTGTTCTGTCTGATATTTTTCTTGGTCTTCCAGATCTTGCTTTAACTTCCACTGTTCCTGATGACTGCCATTTCTTAATTACATTCCGAACAGAGGATACTGACATCTGAAAACGCTTTGCTATCTTCTTATAGCCTTCTCCAGCTTTGTGAGCGTCAACTATTTTCAGTTTCAGTTTTCTAGACAACTGCTTAGAAGAACCCATGGTGCTGATTGTTGGGGCAAGGTCAGATGAGTCTGGGCATTTAAAACCTTTGAGATTGACATCACCTGGTCTTCCCAGATGATGATTGAGAACAATCCATGACACTGACAGGTTTCAGCTTGGCAAAGGGGGCAGTGCATGCTATAAATTCTGCAGGGTGCCCAAACTTTTGCAGACGCCATTTTTTTGTTTTTTCTGTTATTTTGAAAGTGTAAATGATGGAAATAAAATCTAACTTTTGTTGACATATTATAAGAATGTCTAATCTGTAATTTGATGCCTTTTGGAGATTTTTCCATCTTTCCTTGGCTTCTTTATGCACATTAATACAAATTTTTAGCTGGGGTGCCCAAACTTTCGATCCCCACTGTATATGTAAAGTGCAGGGGTGGACTGACAACTCATGGGGCCCCTGGGCAATAGGGGATCATGGGGCCCCTGTGTCCTTGCCCAAACTCAAAATAGCCTATGAAAAAGGTACCAGGGGCATCTCATGGGGCCCCCTACTGACCCCAGGCCCTCAGGCAGTGCCAGAGTTTCCAAATGGTCAGTCCGCCCCTGGTAAAGCGCTGTGTAAATTGACAGCGTTATATAAGTGCCTGTGATAAATAAATAATAAATCACATCAAAGTTACAACACATAAACAAAACAGTTTTTTCTTATTAGCAAAAAAAAAAAACAGTTCAGTGCAGAAGGAATAGGAGGGCCCTGCTCATGGAGCTTGCAATCTAAAGGGAAGGGGAAGTGGTACAAAAGGCGATCACTGTGATGGAGGTGACTTAAGTACAGTTTTTAGATGGAGGTGGGGTAGACTTCCCTGAATAAATGAGTTTTAAAGGATTGCCTAATGGCGGACAGCGTAGGAGCTGACCAGACATACTGGAGAATGGAGCTCCAGAGGATGAGGGAGACTGTGGAAAAGTCCTGGAGACGAGCATGGGAGAAGGTAACAATGGAGCTAGAGAGCGAGGGATGTCTTGGGAGGAGCGGGGAGGACAATTTTGGTGATATCTGTAGATGACACTGGGGATATTGAGGAATTTGCATTTATTCCTTTGCAATTGCTGACTGGGATTTCTTACACTTCCACATGATATCCAGAAAAACAAATGGCTTTGCATGCATTGTAATACAATGTCTGTGTAAACTAAAAGGCAAAAGTTCAGAGTGAGAGTGCGAATCCTTTTATGAGGGCTGCAGGAGATGAGCAGACATTGGAATGTAAGAGATATAAGAAGGTTTGTGGTTGCCAATGTGTAATTAATTGTTCATTTTTGGTGGTTTGACTGTGGGTGTTTGCAGAGTGGTGCGGTTTCAGTAATTACACAGAGTCCGGTTGCAAAGAAAGGGAACTTGTGCCTATAGACCTCACCTCTGGACTAAGCCCAACCCTTTGATCCTGTAGACCTCGCCTCTGGACTAAGCCCAACCCTTTGATCCTGTAGACCTCGCCTCTGGACTAAGCCCAACCCTTTGATCCTGTAGACCTTGCGTCTGGACTAAGCCCAACCCTTTGATCCTGTAGACCTCGCCTCTGGACTAAGCCCAACCCTTTGATCCTGTAGACCTCACCTTTGGACTAAGCCCAACCCTTTGATCCTGTAGACCTCACCTCTGGACTAAGCCCAACCCTTTGATCCTGTAGACCTCACCTCTGGACTAAGCCCAACCCTTTGATCCTGTAGACCTGGCCTCTGAACTAAGCCCAACCCTTTGATCCTGTAGACCTCGCCTCTGGACTAAGCCCAACCCTTTGATCCTGTAGACCTGGCCTCTGGACTAAGCCCAACCCTTTGATCCTGTAGACCTCACCTCTGGACTAAGCCCAACCCTTTGATCCTGTAGACCTCGCATCTGGACTAAGCCCAACCCTTTGATACTGTAGACCTCACCTCTGGACTAAGCCCAACCCTTTGATCTTGGAGACCTCACCTCTGGACTAAGCCCAACCCTTTGATCCTGTAGACCTCACCCCTGGACTAAGCCCAACCCTTTGATCCTGGAGACCTCACCTCTGGACTAAGCCCAACCCTTTGATCCTGTAGACCTCACCCCTGGACTAAGCCCAACCCTTTGATCCTGGAGATCTCACCTCTGGAATAAGCCCAACCCTTTGATCCTGTAGACCTCACCCCTGGACTAAGCCCAACCCTTTGATCCTGGAGACCTCACCTCTGGACTAAGCCCAACCCAACTGTAGCACCTTATCCTGTGAGAGTACCATGACTGGCTGTTGAGGTAGTTTTATTGGACAATAGAATACCAGTTGTCAAGGACTTAAAGAAATGAAACTCAATCAGAGAGATGCACAGAAGAGAGTTTTCTGGCTAAAACCAGTAATAGAAGGCATTGGGTGGCTTTTAAAGTTTGACTTGAGTACAGGTTTGCTTTACCTGTAGGTGCACATTTGAATATTTCTACAGTATACTCTCCAGCAATGCTAGTTAACGCAGGAGTCTTGTTGTAACCTGGTTTATATTTATTATATGTCATGAAATATTCCGCCTTTACTGAGTCAGATTACCTGCTTCAACAGTAATATTAAAGTGGTGGTAATTGATTGACCACTAGAGACAACAAAGACAAGACGGAAGACCGAAACAAGACAGAAACCAAAGTTAAAGGCATGACAAGTAGTTTAGCCCTTAGCTGCGAGGTCTACCTCTACAAATGGATATTCTCTTTTCTTTAGGAGGCAGCATGGACTTGGAGGCGTTAGAGAGTAGTCATAGTCCTGCGCCGGACAATCAGTACGAGCGAGAAGGCTACACGACCCGAGGGCTCACACCTCTTAAAGGGCACCCAGAAAAGTCAGACTTGCTGTCATCAGACGTGAAGAGGTCACAACCCCTGTTAATACAGAGCGGCAGGTGGGGGTAAGTCATGATCAAGACAACTGAAAAATAATTCTGACAATAATCACGCACGCTTAGGCTCCATGCACACGGGGCGTTTTAATAACGCTGGTAACATTCGCTGTGTAAAGTCACGTTAAAAACGTGACTTTTTTAGCGTACTTGCATTAGTGCTTAGCGGCATTTCGCCATTTTTTTTGTGTTTGTGGTTTTTAGCATTTTTGTAACTAAAAAAAGGTCCAAAAACGCAGGTTTGCTGCGTTTTGCCATGTTTTTCATCATTAGAGTATTTTTACAGCTAAAAAACACCTCAAGAAACTCACTAGTTCTGTGTTTTTTTCCAGTCAAAAAACGCCCCTGCCAAAAAACGTTGATTCCAGTCTATGTGTGCATGGACACATAGGATAACATGCTGGGGGAGTTTACTGGCTGTAGAAAAAAACGCCAAAAAACAAAAACAGCCGCTGTAAAAAACGTCCAGTGTGCATGAGGACTAAGTCTACAAAATCAGCCCTATCCTTATTTAAGCCCTCCCCCTTTTACTTCACCACACCTCTTTATATACAGAAAATGTTTTATTTATTTTGCTGGTCATGTGATGGAAGAAATGTGTCATATTTTATATGCGTTATGTTATGTTATATTATATTAAAATTTTATATGGTTATCAAAAATACATTTTTATTTTTTCTATTGCTAATTGGAAACAATACATATTCTGGTAAAAAAAGAACTCTGGTAAAAAAAGAATACATATTCTGGTAAAAAAGAATATACCGGTCATTCTTGATTTTACACTTGAAATGCAGACTTTTTAGAACAGAAGGATCTGCAAATTATCTTTTTTGTGGTTACAAAGAAAAGTCTGAAAGGCACAATAAAGGCACTGGAGACTGCCTGTCATGACTCTAAAAGGTCACATTTCTACGCATTAGGAGGAGACAGATCTGGGTTTTTTTTAGAGTCATACTGATCTAGGGTGCAGTTAACATTTAAAGTCTTCTGCTAGATATTAGTTTCCACTTGACTTTTTAAAAAAAATGGCACTTTTTAACTTTTTTTTTTTTTACTGCAGGCGGTTACGAGATGAAGAGTCCAGATCATCTTCACTACCTGACATCCCTAATCCATTCCCGGAACTTTGCAACTCCTCCCCTATTCTCAGCAACACACCTAATAGCAGCTCCCCTCTGGAAGGGGGTCCCCATGTGAGTACACTAATAAAACAGCCCTACAGCAATAGGTTCATACTACTGGAATCAGGGACATTGTCCTTATCAACCAGTCCAATGTGATCCTCAAAAATCAAGCAATAAATCTGACTTTATAGTGTGCAACACGTTCACTTTTCTTGCTGATATCTTTGCTACATTCTTCAGAAATCAGCCCCTAAATAATCATTTTTATCAAATCCTGGGATAATTCATTTTTGAGCACACCAGATCAACCAACAATCCTTCACATGACAGGACTGAGGCAGAAAAAAGGCAAGACATTTGGGTGGCCGAAGATGGGCAGATATCTGCTTGATGATGACAGGCAATCAAATATATGCCCAACCCTAAATGCATTATCAGGTCCCACTGGGGTTTTTGTTTTGATTTTATTTTTGAGCTGAACATATTACTAACATGGCACTACTGATCTTTTATTCTTCCAATATGGGTAATTTATTCAAGCAGTGAAAGTCCAAACACAATACTGGGCTTTCTAATAAGAAAGCCCAGCATGACCTGCTTCATGCTTTAAAGAACTGGCACCCTGTCTAGCAATCAGTAGCCACTGGCACTAATTTGGTTTATTCTGGCACAACCATTTTATTTATTTATTATTATTATTGTTATTATTATACTATAGGATTTATATAGCACCAACAGTTTATGCAGCGGTTTACAAAAAAAGGGCAGACAGTACAATTACAATACAAATTAATACAGGAGGATTCAGAGAACTTAAAAATCTTACAAAGAGAAACTTTCCTGCCACACCAGGGGCAGATAAGAGATACAAATACCCCTTGAAATTTCCCACATTTTGTTACAACTAAAAACGTAAATGTATTTTATTGGGATTTTATATGGTAGACCAACACAAAGCAGCACATTTTTGTGAAGTGGAAGGAAAATGTTAAATAAGTTTCCAAATTCCAAAGTGTGGCATGCATTTGTCTTCAGCCCACTTTACTCTGATACCCTTAACTAAAATCTTATGGAACCAATTGCCTTCAGAAGTCACCTAATTAGTAAATAGAGTCCCATCAGGAGGGAGGGCTGCTGGAGACACACCCCCCCCCCCACGAAGCTAATACACATAAACACATACATCCCATAATAGTTTGCTCCCAAGCCAGACAAACAATAGAACGATGGAATGCAGCAATATAACATTAAACAATCAACAACCCCCACCCCACCTATCTCCTAAACAAGTCTACACAGTCTGAGACAAAGCCCACACAATATTAGGACAGATCACCCTGTACCCCTAAAAGGCACAGGGTGATTTACACATAAGAGGAATATGGGGAGCTGAGACAGGGGTCTCCCCAACTCTCCAAAGTGAGCTGGGTTACATGGGCCCCCACCCAAAGTGTCTTCCCGTCACAAACTATTAGTCGTACACTCCACAAATCTGGCCTTTATGGAAGAGTGGCAAGAAGAAAGGCAATGTTGAAAGAAAGCCATAAGAAGTCCTGTTTTCAGTTTGCTGGAAGCCATGTGGGGACACAGCAAACTTGTGGAAGAAGGTGCAGATGAGACCAAAATTTAACTTTTTGGCCTAGAAGCAAAACGCTATGTGTGGCGGAAAACTAACACTGCACATCACCCTGAACACACCATCCCCACCGTGAAACATGGTGGTGGCAGCATCATGTTGTAGGGATGCTTTTCTTCAGCAGGGACAGAGAAGCTGGTCAGAGTTGATGGGAAGATGGATGGAGACAGATACAGGGCAATCTTAGAAGAAAACCTGTTAGAGTCTGCAAAAGACTTGAGACTGGGGTGGAGGTTCACCTTCCAGCAGGACAATGACCATAAACATACAGCCAGAGCTACGATGGAATGGTTTAAATCAAACGATTTTCATGTGTTAGAATGGACCAGTCAAAGTCCAGACCTAAATCCAACTGAGTATATGTGGTAAGACTTTAAAATTGCTGTTTACAGACGCTCTCCATCCAATCTGACAGAGGTTGAGCTATTTTGCAAAGAAGAATGGGCAAAACTTTTGCTCTCTAGATGTGCAAAGCTGGTAGAGACATCCCAAAAAGACTTGCAGCTGTAATTGCAGCGAAAGGTGGTTCTACAAAGTATTGACTCCGGGGGGCTGAATACAAATGCACTCCACACTTTTCAGATATTTATTTGTAATAAATTTTGAAAACCGTTTATCATTTTCCTTCTACTTTACAATTATGTGCCATTTTGTGTTGGTCTATTATATAAAATCCCAATAAAATACATTCAAGTTTTTGGTTGTAACATGACAAAATATGGAAAATGTCAACGGGTATGAATACTTTTTCAAGTCACTGTGTTTTCCTCAAATTGAACAGAGTAGGCCTATAGATGTCCATGATGTCCCATGGGCCAATTATTTTCATAAATCAAACAGAGTAGGTCTAAAGGTGGCCATGATGTCCCATGGGCCAATTATTTTCATAAATCAAACAGAGTAGGTCTAAAGGTGGCCATGATGTCCCATGGGCCAATTATTTTCATAAATCAAACAGAGTAGGTCTAAAGGTGGTCATGATGTCCCATGGGCCAGTTATTCCCTTAAATCAAAGTGATGACGTAATAGGGGAACTTTTATTTAGTGCAGTGGAGATGCTAGAGGCAGCCATGCATAGACATTCCTTGTGCTGGGGAACACATTGTGATTCAGCAAGGTATTTTAAAATGCCAAAGTGTTTTGTTACCAGGGAACAACCTTTCAAGGCAACGGACAACTTTTATATAACAAAGTGCCTGAAGAAAGACTTTCTCTTGCCCATCGTGATTACCATAGTTAGTCTCTCTTTCATTGTACCATACTGCAGTAGGATTATGATAGGGAGACTGTGACTGGCTGTTGTGGGCAGCAAAGAATGATCTTCATTCAAAAACGTTTATGCCATAGAATATGTGGATGATCTATGATTATGTTGGTGAACATCCAAGCTGAACAAATGTGCTTTCTCTCAAGAACAGATGGTGAAGGTGTTCAGTGAGGATGGCACGTGCCGGTCATTAGAAGTGACAGCTGGAGCAACGGCTCGACATCTGTGTGACATGCTGGTGGAGAAGGCCCACTGCCTGAGTGACGAGAGCTGGTCTCTAGTGGAGCTACATCCGCATCTGGGGCTCGGTGAGGGAGAAATACAGGGATTCATTATTACTAATGCATGTGCTATTTTATAGAGCTTTGGGCTTGTTTCATATACTAATGAAAATTAAAGTGGAGAAGTTGCCTTTGGGGACTTATTAGATCCTGAAGACCTGGATACCAAAAATATTTAACTGCAGAGAGAAAGTTTTGTCACATGATTTTTAATTTATAAATCTAGTATATATATACTGTGTAAATATTCAACACCCACCATCAAGCTTCTCATCCCTGCACTCTTCTCTGAGAAGTCAGTAATTTTTTTATACCTTTTCGATTACTTCTATTAAAAAAATAAGTATACAAACATGCCACACTTCTCCTTTAAATAGATACCGTATCAGTCCTCAAAAAGTTTCCACTCGCCCGCTCGCATTGGGCACGTGGAAATAACATAGGGGTGAACAGCACCGGGACTAAAAGTGGGTGGGTGGGGGGGTGGCGTTGGGACAGTTACAAGCAGCGATCTTCCTGTATGGCTTTCAATGAAGCAGCTGAAAGTCACAGGAGGTAGAGGAGGAGAAGCGGCTTTCAGCTACTTCATTGGAGGCCATACAAGGAGATTGGTGCTTGTAACTGTCCCCACTGCTGCACCGTTCATCCTTGATTGTTCCGTTTCTTTTTGGGCCCCCCTGTGTGCTCCTCAGTGTCCAGCCTATCATCCTCTGCACCAATAGGAGAGGATAGGAGAGAGAGGCTGGATCTGCTCTGCCTCCCCCTGTGCCCACCCACACTCCAGTCCGTGCAATGCAGCTTCTCATAAGAGGATGTGTGAGCGGGAAATTGTACACAGAGCAGCCGGCAGCCCTGTGATGCTTCCGACTGAGCATGTGAGCCAGGATCCATCCATGTGAGTCCTTCCTTTACTTTACTTTCCTTTTCTTCCGTCCACCCCTCCCTCCCTTCCCTTTTTTCCTCCCTCCTTCCCTTCCTTTCCTTCTCTCCTTCCTTACTTTCCTTCTCCTCCTTCCTTCACTTTTTTCCTCCTCCCCTTTTTTCCTTCCTCCCTTTCTTCCTCCCTTTTTTCCTCCCTCCCTTCCTCCCTCCCTTTTTTCCTCCCTTCCTACCTCCTTTTATCTCCCTCCTTTTTTCTCCCTCCCTTCTTCCTTTTTTTCTTCATCCCCTTCCTTCCTTTTTTTTCCTTCCTTCCTTCCTTCCTTCCCTTCCTTCCTCCCTTCATCCCCTCCCCTTCCTTCCTTTATTCTGCATAAAAAATTTAACAGTGCCATTTCATGAGATCATTTACGAGGGCGTGTTTAGGGTGGAATTAATGGCTGTGCAGGATAGGGTTTGGGTGGGGCAACTGGTGGTAAGTAACTTTTAAGTCCTGGCTAGTAGCTCAGGACTTGAAATTTTGAGCCCTGCCGTACATAGTGCCCTGCCGAACTCAGATAAATGTTTCACAAAATGACAGAATCCATAAAGATTAGAAAATGCAAATAAAAATTCCAATCCAAACAAAAGAGAACTGTGCAACCCAGTCCAAACAAAATCTCCTCCTGTGATATCAGCTCCACCATCGTGCTCAACGAAAGCTCTTTCCAGAAAGGTAGACCTCAAAGCAAAAGAGGTCAATCAGCTTTTAGAAGATGAACAATAACAATGAGTGGTGAAGGACATCTGCTGGACAGATCTCTACTGTACCATCTCCCAAAATGTATATTGCCACGTAGCATGTAATGGCTTATTTACAAGGGCAGAAAAAAACGCTGCATTTAGAAGCGTACAGCAGATCAGTTTTGTAAGCATCCAAATGTAGCACTATAGTAATCAATGAGCCCATACACACAGCTGCTTCAATATCTGAAAATGTGTGCTGCGTTTAGTTGCACACAAAAAAACAGTAGGAGATAGCTGTATATGTTTTACTCGTATAGATTTGCAGATTTTACTCAGGGACTCACATAAACGTGAGTACTTTAGCAGCATATTTTATATAGGATCTTTCATTCATGTAGAAAATATGTATCTAAAAAGTTTTTTCTGCCTGTGAGAATGAGCCCTAAAAAGAAAAGCACTCCACTATCATAAAAATACTTTAATTAAAAAACAATAATAAAACTTACTAAACCGCTAGAGAATATAAGCACAAAAAGTCATCTCCACACTGTTTGGTCCTTCCGCATTGCGCAGGACAGCACACTATGCTCATAAATGAAGTCATCAGGGGCCATATCATAGATGTTGTCGTATTACTGCTTAATTTATATGCTCAGTCAGATAGAAGGCGATTGAATTACTCCTCCTCAAAAATGTACTCCTTTTATGCCTCTCATATTTATCAGCTTTATATATATACAGGGGCGGACTGACCATTTGGAAACTCGGGCACTGCCCAAAGGCCCAGGGTCAGTAGGGGGCCCCATGAGATGCCCCTGGTACCTTTTTCATAGGCTTTTTTTGAGTTTGTCAAAGACACAGGGGCCCCATGATCCCCTATTGCCCGGGGGCCCCATGAATCCGCCCCTGTGTATATATATATATAAATGTGTGTGTGTGTGTGTGTGTGTGTGTGTGTACCTCGGTTTACAAATTTAATGCATTCTGCAGGACTTTTTGTATTGCGAAAAATTCGTAAACCAAAGCGCAGTTTCCCATAAGAATGCATTGAAAACCAATTAATTTGTTCTGGAGGTCAGAAAAAAGTTAAAAAAAAAGTCTTTTATCTGTTCAAAACTGTTTATAAAGTGCACCATATAGGCATAAATACTGTACAGGGACATGATTAAAAATTAATTCGTAAATGGATTGAAAACCAATTAATCCGTTCTTATTTCGAAAAAAAAATTCTTAAACAGAGGCATTATTTTCAATGGATTTTCATTCGTAAACCGAAAATTACTTTCACCGAGGCGTTCGTAAACTGAGGTACGCCTGTGTGTGTGTGTGTGTGTGTGTGTGTGTGTGTGTGTGTGTGTGTGTATATATATATATATATATATATATATATATATATATATATTGTATTGTGATAAGGAAGTGCAGGATCACAGCCATCTGCTTGTAAAAGTGACAGTCCTTATCAGGGGCGGACTGACAACTCATGGGGCCCCCGGGCAATAGGGGATTATAGGGCCCCTGTGTCCTTGCCCAAACTAAAAAAAGCCTATGAAAAAGGTACCAGGGGCATCTCATGGGGCCCCCTACTGACCCGAATGCCCGAGTTTCCAAATGGTCAGTCCGCCCCTGGTCCTTATTGAATTTTCAAACAGTCCAGAAAACAAAACAGCTTTCTTCAGCAAATGAAGACAAAGTTGTACAAATTTAAAACAAGAGAATGGCTCTCCATCACTCTACCAGTCCTACATTGAGGTTCGGGGTTTCCCGTCTGCTTCAGTGGGCCAACAGAGCCTCGTTCACAATTCAATTTATCTAAAAATATCACCTTTAATTTACCTTATCAAGTTGGTCTAGCGAGAGATAGAACTTTATTCTTGGAATCTTGAGGAGACCTCTGACCTATGGTAGGTAGTACTATGTACTGGATTGAAAATACACTTGCATGAAATGAGATGGTCTACGGGAAACTGTTACCCATGGTCTCTTTGTGGCTTTGAACAGCCAGATTAAGGTGGAGTTGAATCACAAATGGCTTTTTGGCTGATTTTGATAAACAATACTTTTATTCGATTTCCAATGTTGTTCAACAGATTGCTCTAAAACAGTGGTTCTCAACCTGTGGGTCGCGACCCCTTTGGGGGTCGAACGACCCTTTCACAGGGGTCCCCTAAGACCATCAGAAAACACATATTTCCGATGTGTAAACAGCAGCTACTGTGTAGAAAGCAGCTGCTGTGTTGAAAGCAGCTACTCTGTTAAAAGCAGCTACTGTGTTGACAGCAGCAGTATTGGAGGTAAAACGACACTCATGAATTATAATTACTGGGTAAATAATTTTATGGTTGGGGGTCACCACAACATGAGGAACTGTATTAAAGGGCCACGGCATTAGGAAGGTTGAGAACCACTGCTCTAAAACAATAAATAAATGCAACCATGGATGTGAGATTGCTGTAGAGTGTTGTGTTCCTTGCACTTAAACCCAGCATTGGTAGACTTAGAGAAAACTGTCTCCTTTCTTGCAGAACGCTGCCTTGAAGATCACGAGTCAGTGGTGGAGGTTCAGGCCATGTGGCCCGCAGGAGGAGGACAGCAAGTTCATTTTTCGAAAGAATTTCACCAAGTATGAATTATTCCGGGGATCTCCAGTGAGTACAAAGAGCCTACACAGAGACAGATAGATGGTTGGGACCAGTCATATTTAGATAATTATATGTCACTCCTTGTCTGTTGTTGTTCAGGTATGCGCTGGTCATACTACTCTGCATTACTAACGCAGAACAAATAACTTGTGTTTTTACAACATGTGATAACTATTGTTCCAGATAGGTCATATCTTCTTAACCATTTCCAGTCCGGACACTTTCACTCCCTTCCAGTCCAGGCCAATTTTCAGCGCTTTCACACTTAGAATGACAATTGCGCGGTCATGCAACACTGTATCCATATGAAATGTTTTGCATTTTTTTGAGACAGATAAAACTTTATTTGGGTGGTATTTATTCACCACTGGGATTTACATTTTTTTGATAAATAAATGAAAAAGACCAAAAATTTTGAAAAACAGTGTTTTTGTTATCCAATTTTGCAAATAAATAATCTTTCTTTACAAATCTTGGCAAAAATGTATTCAGATATCTTTTTGGTAAAAAAAATAACCTAAATTAGTTTATATAATTAAATATATTTTTTTTATATTATTATTTGTTTATTTATTGTTACATAAAAGTAATCAAAAAAATTATTTTAAGTGAGGCTCCATGATCACTAGCGTTTTTTAAGCTCCTAGAAGCTGTTTTTAGCTTTTTCTGCTCATAAAAGCTAAAGACTACTGCAACTCCCTTCTCACTGGCCTACCCAAACAAACGCTATCCCCACTCCAGTCTATCCTGAATTCAGCGGCTAAACTCATTCACCTCACCAACCACTCCACATCTGCCACCCCCCTCTGCCAATCCCTTCACTGGCTCCCGATTGCCCAGCGCATCAAATTCAAATTACCAACTCTGACCTACAAAGCCATTCAGAACGCCGCCCCAAACTACCTAACCCAAATACCACCCTACCAGTGCCCTTCGCTCCTCACAGGACCTCCTACTCTCTAGCTCCCTGGTCTCCTCATCCCACGCCTGACTGCAGGACTTCTCCAGGACTTCCCCCATCCTCTGGAACTCCCTACCCCAATCCGTCAGACTGTCACCTACCCTCCTCACCTTCAGGCGCACCCTGAAAACCCATCTCTTCAGGGAAGCCTACCCCACCCTCACCTAACAACCGATCTCCTCCACTTCTTCCACCACTCCACCCCCACAGCCACTTCCTCCTGTACCACCTTCCCCTCCCTCCTAGATTGTAAGCTCGAAAGAGCAGGGCCCTCGAACCCCTCGTGTAGTGTACTGTTACTGTCTTGTCTCATGTTCTGTCCCCCTTGCTATTGTACAGCGCTGAGCAAACCCTTTGGCGCTATATAAATACTGTATATAATAAATAATAATACTGTCACCCTAGCAGTAGTGTCACCATAGTGACACTGTACTATTTGTGGGGGGGGTGATGAAGATTTTTTTTTTAATTTCTTTTTTACACTGATTGCTTTTACACCCATAAAGGCTGTAAAAGCAATCATTTTTATTTCTCTCTGGCTGCATTCCTGCAGCCATTGAGAAATACTGTGAGAGCTGTGATTGGTCACAGCTTGTCACATGGTACAAGGCTGTTGTGAATAGCCTTGTACCATGTGACCTCTGTGATCATTCAGAGATTTCACAAGTAGTAAGCAATGATGTCAGGAAGTGACATCTTGTTTACTACTGTTCATGTGATCACTGATTGGCCAATCAGGGATCACATGAATTGGGACCTCACACAGAGGTCCCGTTTACAGCGATCAGTGTTCTACTGTGCAGACACAGTGCTCACAGATCGTGGTGCTGCGTGCTCCCGGGGAGCATGCACAGGCAATGGATGCAGGGGGGGCATTTAGAAATGTACCCCCCGCATCGGCAGCGCTCCCATCTGCCCGTTTATTGGCAATGGGCCAGATGGGAAGAGGTTAAAGCAGAATTATACTGCATCTGTACACCAAAAACACTCTTTAATTCATTTTTAATATTGAAAGCAAACTCACCTATCCATACAAGCTTTATTTTGCTGAGAAATCAGTTCTAGCCATGGCCACCTTGAGTAAGGGCAGATGATTAATGTAGAATTTGCTTCCTGACATCCATCTACCCTTAGCTCAGGCATGCAGGCAGGTGGGTGTGCTTAGTTGAGAAAACTCCTCCTCTCTTCCTGAAGACTCCTGGGATATATGACATCATTAGCCTAGGCCTGGAAACCAGGAAGCAACTGAAGAAAAGTAAAAAAAAAACAAACCAGTAAAAATATGATATACCTTCCTATCTATCTACTACTGCTAGCAGCATAAGGGTCAAAATAGTTGATTGAGAGAATGAGGTTCCGTTTTACATATTTGATCTGTATATTATATAGTATAAGCCATATAAATATCACAAAGCATTCCCTTTGTATCTGAACCCCAAGAACAAAAATGTAATTCAGCTTACCAGTCCTTAGATGTGTTGGCTGCATTCGTTTTCTTTTTTTCAGATTATTTCCCTTTTTTAATTTATTAACCGCTTCCGCACCTCCCTAGAGCATAAAAATTTGATTTTTGCAGTTACGGGTGGGGGGCGCATGCATGCACCCCTCCCGTGCCACCACCCGGTGATCGCTGAGTATTACAGCCAGGGGAGAGACCTGTGTATAAACAACATAGATCTCTCCCCTGTCAGCTCCTGCACACTGCTTTGTATGGCTCTGCATAGCAGAGCCATACAAAGCAGTGTACTTACAGTGCAAAGCACTTACACAGCACACAGTGAAACACACACAGCAAACAGTTAACCCTTTGATCGCCCCAGGTGATTACCCCTTCCTGCCCAGTGCCATTAGTACAGTGTCAGTGCTTTTCATTAGCACTGATCACTGTATTGGTGTCACTGGGGATATCAGTGACACCAAGTCAGCCCCCCCCCCCCCAGTGTCAGAATGCCCGCTGCGGTCTCGTTATAAGTCGCTGACTGCCGTCATTACTAGTAAAAAAAAAAAATTCAAGTATATATTGATATAGCGGACTCTTTTTGGGGAGATGCTCTCTTGTCACAACCATTGTCACAGGGTTCTATGGTTTGAATTTTACATGCTAATGATTTCCTCTGATTTGTAAGGGAGTTGATGGTGCGGGTGTTTGTTTGTGACTGTTGTATGGGTTTGGCTGTGTGTTTGTATGTTTCTGACTGCTTACCTGTTATGTTATTATTCTGTTCTGTGATTCTCTCTTGTTATATGTATGGGGTTTCTGTCCTGCAATAAGTTGTTTGTTTTTTTTGATCCCCTTTTCTGTATCCTTACTTTTTGATTTTAGTTTTGAGTTCCCGTTATTATTTTTCTTTTTCTTGTTCTGCTATTGTTTGTGTTTTATAAATGCAAAATTTGTAAACCAAGGTACACCTGTACATATAAATGTATGAGCCTACTAGCAAATGCTTTTTTAATTGCTGTCAATTCCTTTAAAATCAATGTCCTGGTGTCACAGGAACAGGAAGTGAAGGAAAATGTCCCCATTTAGTGTCATAGACAAAAATAAACTTAGCAGAGATTCCAAAATCTAAATGTAACACCTAGAAAATAACTTTCTTTTTTCCCTGAACATATATACATTAACAGTTTGGTATTTTTATTTCCCAGTATGCATTATTCCCAGAAGACATGATTGCAGGAAACCTAGAAGCTCACAAAGGACTGTCTCACTCAGAGCTCATACAGGTGCGTAAAGGACTAGATCTTGGCCTCCGGAGTTGGGAAAAGTTCCTAGGCAGAAGATTTGGCCTCTTTGGTTCTTGCTGACAGCCTGACAGTGTCTGGGACATTCTGTACACTGACTGTACAGGTCAGAGAAGGGTGAACCCAACCGCTAGTCAGGTTTCAATTACAGAGACTGGACATCTGAAACAAGTCTGGGCTGCATCTTCGCAAATCCAAGATTGTTTATTAGCATGTGTTTCAGGGCTGAAATCTGAGCATTATCCTCCTTTTTGCAGAATTTCCTCAACTCAGGCAGTTGGCCAGAGATCCAAGGCTATTTACATATGAAGGAGAGCGGGCGCAAAGTCTGGAAACGGTTCTTCTTTTTCCTGCGCCGGTCGGGGCTTTATTACTCCACCAAGGGGACCTCAAAGGTAGGTACATTATGCAAGAGGGATATATAAAAATCTAAGAGAATCACTACTTTTTGCGACGAGAGACGTTGGTGCTTTTGGTTCCAAGAGACTCTGTCAGGAATGGACTCAGCACTGGTGGTGGGACTCACCTGCCGTGTGGGCTGCAGTACCAGGGCTGACCAGCGGGTGCTGTCAGCAGCCAGAAGCTCACTCCTGCAGTCAGCCAACACCTGGGGCTGATTGCAGGAGGTGTTTTTAAGGAATGACCAGGCCTGTGATCAGTGCCTTGATGTATGTTTCCCATGAGCCCCTGTACCTTGTAGCCTGTGTTCCTGTTCCTCTGCCTATCTGATTTGTTGCCGACTCTGCATTGTTCCTGACCCTGCTGACCATCTCCTGTTTAACCCCTGGCTTGCCTGACCATCCTTCTGCCTGATCCTCTGTACCGTGCTGTCCGTGAGTTACTGAACCCGGCTTGTGACCCTGACTATTCTCTGCCTGCTCCTTCGGTACCTCGCTGCCCGCACGTTGCTGACCTGGCCTGCCTGACTACGCCTTACGCTACCAGACGATCCATCCATCCTGCACGGATCCAGCCATCCCTGCTCACACCTTCTGCCTCTTCACATCAGGCTTCCTACCTGCATATACCTCTGGCGGATCCCTCTACCACGAGCAGGTGTACTCAGGGGCCGCGACCTGGTTCCTGTCTGCTCCAAGTCCATCCCCACCATCAGGGGCCCTGGTGAATAAGCAGAATGGGACTTAGACTCCGCGTCCTGGGGAATCCTGTCCTGAGGACTGCTAGGGGTATCACCAGACGGTCGTTAACAGAGCCATATGGCCGGCCTGACCCTTCCACCTCTCCAGCCCTGACTGCGCCTGTGTTCCTGCACATACTAAGATTAGTGGAAGGTTGGTTTATTTACTGAGCGTTGTATATTTGGGTAGCTAATAATAAATTGTATTATTATATCATTCCTGAAGCCTGTTACGTCCCTGTGTCAGTCCACACATTTCTGGTCATACCCGGATCCTTGACAGACTCAATGCCCATAGGGCAAATATGTATTAAAGGGAAGATTAACCACTTCAAGTCCGGACACTTTTACCACCTTCCTGTCCAGGCCAATTTTCAGCTTTCAGCTCTATCACACTTTGAATGACATTTGCGCGGTCTTGCAACACGGTCTTGCAAGCAATACCCAGATGAAATTTTTTGAGACAGATAAAACTTTATTTTGGTGGTATTCATTCACCACTGGGATTTTTTTTTTTTATATATATATAAATGAAAAAGTCCAAAAATGTTTTTAAAAAAAGTGTTTTTCTTATAAAATTTTGCAAATAAGTAATCTTTCTTCATAAATCTTGGCCAAAATGTATTCAGCTATCTTTTTAGTAAATAAAAAAAAAATTTTTTTACATCTCTATTTTGTTTTTTTGTATTATTATTTTTTGTTTTTTTTTAACATACTGTCACCCTAGAAGTACAGTGTCACCATAGTGACATTGTACTACTTGTGGGGGGTGATGAAGATTTTTTTTTTTTTTACACTGATTGGTTTTTACACCTATAAAGGCTGTAAAAGCAATCATTTCTCCTTCTCTCTGGCTGCATTCTTGCAGCCATTGAGAAATACTGTGTGAGCTGTGACCAGAGGCGGACTGACCATTGGGGAACTCAGGCACTGCCCGGGGTCAGTAGGGGGCCCCATGAGATGTCCCTGGTACCTTTCATAGGCTTTTTTGGGTGTGGTTTGAGTGTGGGCAAGGACACAGGGGCTCCATGATCCCCTATTGCCCAGGGGCCCCATGAATTGTCAGTCCGCCCCTGGCTGTGACCAATCACAGCTCACACAGTATTTCTCAATGGCTGCGAGAGAAATGTCACATGGTACAAGGCTGTTGTGAATAGCCTTGTACCATGTGATCTCTGTGATCATTCACAGATTTCACTAGTAGTAAGCAATGATGTCAGAAGTGACATCTTGCTTACTGCTATTCATGTGATCACTGATTGGCCAATCAGTGATCACATGATCAGGACCTCACAGCGGGCACTGGATCGCAGTGTCGTGCGCTCCCAGGAAGCGCGCACAGGCTTAAAATGCGGGCGCCGTTTATAAATGGCAACCCGCTCCTGCACTGCTCCCATCCGGCCGGTTAATATACTTGGGCCAGACGGGAAGTGGTTAAATAGATCCTGTTATCAAATTAGTTTGATTTAAATGCTTGCTTGCCATTCTTTTGTTTTTTATAATTTTACTTTTTATTCACTTGCGATGTACCTTTGACCTTCTCCCCTGCAGCCACTGTCACTTTTGATATCGGCACAACTATGCGGGGCCCTGCCTGCACAGTTGCATCATCCATTCAGAGAGATCTATGAATGAACTACAAGTCCCGTCTGTCACCACGGAAGAAGGACTTGTAGTTCTCAATGGAACACAAGTGCAAAGATCACTTGACACTTTGACACTTGACACTTTCTTCAGTTCTGTAGCTGAACGCCCACTCCTTTGTACAGGTAGAGGGCTGGAGGAAGAGTCTGCAGGAGCCTAGCCCTGCACCCATGATCCACTTGTAGCACCCTCCTCTACTTAGGTTGTTAGTCTAAATTTAGTTTTTGGCCTCACTGTAGTCAGCGGAGCAGAGATCTCTTGTTTCTGCCTGGTCTGGGCTTTCTAAGCTGGGTGTTCAATTTCTCCTACTTGCTTATGGGGCAAGCTTCCAGAATACAAGGCAAGGAGGGTCAAACATTAAGTGATGAATATTTATCATGCCTCAGCCAATCCCTGGAAGAGGGGTGTCCAGAAGGTGGCTGAGGAGGTGATAAATGTTTGGGAGGCCTGGTCAGTTTTCTTCCTCTGCTAGTAGGGTTTATATTTTCCTAGGGCTGCTGCCCTGCGAGACATGTAGACTGTGCTGAACAATCTGGGCTTCGACAGGTGCTCGGCTGAGGGCCTGAAGAAGATTACTAAATGGATTTTGCTGGAGGGCACTGTTCTAAAGTTCTTGTCTGGAGAAGGATCTTTTATCTCCTTCTTCTCCTCCTACTGAGGAACTACCTATGAAAGCTGTGTGGTAGTCTTTTAGTTTTGATAGAAGTTGGAAAGATTGGAACCATTGTCCGGTTTTTATTGCTGTTGGTGAACTTACCATCACTCAGCAGGAACACAATCACCATTGGTTCCCATAACCATTCCCACCAATACAGAAAGTAATGGGAAATTCAACATTAAAGTTGTCATGGGAACAGGAATAGAGGGGAAATCTTTCAGTGGATACATCAGTTCTGATGGCATTTTTCATTCATCCCTTCAGACAGGATGTGATCCCTGTCTGTATCCAAAACTGAAAGAAAAAAGTTTTGACTTTACATTCACTTTAATTTTTTAACAGATACCATAAACATCTATTTGACTGAACCATTTAGTTGACACTATATTAGGCCAAGTATCAACCAGGCATCTCAAGATGTTCCCTGACACAACTGTGGTCACTCCAATAAGAATGAAGGGGAAATTATCCAAGGGGTACACTTGTTCTGATGACAACTTTATTAACCAGTTCCGCGCTGCCCTATAGCAGAAATACTGGTACAAGGCAGCTTGGGTACACAAAACCACGTGTATATATACCCCTTTATAATGTATTTAAAAGCATTTATATGCTTTTAAATACATTTGTGTTTCACCACGGTAATGCACGAAGAGAGTGCGCCCTGTTTTTACTGCTTTTCTTCCCCAGTACTGACTGGCATATTCAATGCTTTGGATATCTTTTCATATCCTTTTCCATTTTATAAAGTTTTATAAATTACCTTGTTACGCAGACACTAATTGCAATTTAAAAAGCCATAGATGTGGGAAATGAACCTTTAATTGCCATTTAAAACCTGCATGTGTCATTTGTGTGTCTGTACCAGCAATGGGCAAACTACGGCCCGCGGGCCGTATACGGCCCGGCGGACCTTTTAATCCGGCCCGCGGAGCTAGGCTCCCGCTAGGCTCCTCTCACAGTCCGCCCTGAAGACCGGTGTAGCATGAAAATCTGTCTCCTATGAGGATCTGTTCCCCTCGACGTATCTGCGCATGTGCCGGAGATCGCCGATCGGCTGCTAATGCCTGAAACTGGCACATGCGCAGATACGTCAAGGGGGACAGATCCTCATAGGAGACAGATTTTCATGCTACACCGGAACGGCGCGGGAACACGGCGAGAGGAACGCGTGGAGCAAAGGTAAGTGAATTGACACAGGGGGGACTTGGGGACTTAATATGGGGGATGAATTAATATGGGGAATGAATTACTATAGGGGGGATGAATTACTATATGGGGGATGAATTACTATATGGGGGATGAATTACTATGGGGGATGAATTACTATAGGGGGGATGAATTACTATATGGGGGATGAATTACTATATGGGGGATAAATTACTATGGGGGATGAATTACTATATGGGGGATGAATTACTATATGGGGGATGAATTACTATAGGGGGGATGAATTACTATAGGGGGGATGAATTACTATGGGGGATGAATTACTATATGGGGGATTAATTACTATATGGGGGATTAATTACTATATGGGGGATGAATTACTATGGGGGATGAATTACTATATGGGGGATGAATTACTATATGGGGGATGAATTACTATATGGGGGGATGAATTACTATGGGGGATGAATTACTATATGGGGGATGAATTACTATGGGGGATGAATTACTATATGGGGGATGAATTACTATGGGGGATGAATTACTATGGGGGATGAATTACTATATGGGGGATGAATTACTATATGGGGGATGAATTACTATGGGGGATGAATTACTATATGGGGGATGAATTACTATGGGGGATGAATTACTATATGGGGGATGAATTACTATATGGGGGATGAATTACTATAGGGGGGATGAATTACTATATGGGGGATGAATTACTATGGGGGATGAATTACTATATGGGGGATGAATTAATATGGGGGATGAATTACTAT